GAACTACTAGTGTGTCCTCAGTGATTGTGTCCCTAATTGCCTGAATCCTTACAAACTGGGACCTGTCCAAATTTTAGGCTTCTGGACATACTTGAAGCTAATTCTAGGCTCCAGGTTTGAACCCTAACAAACAGTGCAATCTTTTTTTCCAATATAATGTTGAATTAACTCTATTTTGTTCCCCAAAACACCACGCAAGAGTCCCAGGAATAAGGTGGGGTTAGGGCCTTGGAATCTTAAGGCACAGGAGCCTGAGGAGCAGGCAGCCATCTTTTCCTTGTTTCTCTCCACATCAACTACTGGAACTGGAGCTGGCTTGAGCATTTTGAAAGTAAACAATGTATCAAAGATCAAGCCATTATGCATCCAGGCAGGGAAACAAAGATCTTTGAGGCCGTTTGAAAACTCTGAAACTTTGAGGAGCTGGTTCAGCAGAAGAGTGACATGGGGTGGGGGTTGACTTTAGCCCCATGTGCAAACCCTAATGTGTACCTTGTTTGTATGTGTTTGACAGCTGAGCGTGAGATTGTCCGAGACATCAAGGAGAAGTTGTGCTATGTAGCTCTGGACTTTGAAAACGAGATGGCCACTGCTGCCTCCTCGTCTTCCTTGGAGAAGAGCTATGAGCTGCCTGACGGGCAGGTGATCACCATCGGGAATGAACGCTTCCGCTGCCCCGAGACCCTCTTCCAGCCATCTTTCATTGGTAGGCACTGGGGAGGGAAGTGGAGACTCCCTGTTCTGTACCCAGCCAGCCCTGGCTACCAGTACCCATTTGTAGTAGAAATGAACAGCAGTTCTACAGTAGGGAACGTGCCACGTTTTTAAAATGAGAAGAATCCAGGGAGCCAAGAAAGGACTTGACTGCCTAGGAAATCTCTTAAGTCACCATGATCAAGACAAGCACATTCTCTGCATATAATGTAAAAGACAAGCGTTACCTGTGTTTAGGATTTAATGGAGCACAGGGACGGTTGGGGAAAAGGAGCTGAGTGCTATGCCTTTGGGAATGCTGATGATGGGGATGGAACAACTAGAGGGCCTCTATTCCACACTGGCACAGCAGAGTCACAGAGGGTTTGCAGAGGCATCCTCTTTGGAGGCTGGGGGCCTCGACTTGAGACTTACTTCTATCTTCACCATTTTGAGAATGCCACTTAACTTCTCTGAGACTCAGTTTCCTCCGATTAGGAAAGCTGGAAGATTTACAGCAGAGCTGTGTAGCACCCTCATCCCACAATTCTGTCAGTGAGTGGTGTTGCTACCATTGTAACTAGATCACAGTGCTAAGAAGGGTGACAGAGCCACCTAGAGGTTTACTACAAAAATGCCCTCATCAGAGGTCAACAAGGAAATCAACCCCTCTCCCCTACAAATGTCCGTACTCAGATTGCATAAAAATCATCTTTGGTAGCAGGGCATGCCAGTACATGCCCTTACTTCCAGTACTAGAGAGGCAAAAGCAATTGGATCTTTATGGGTTTGAGGCCAGCTTGTTCTACAGCAAGTTCCAGGCCAGCTAAGGATATGTAGGGAGACCTGTGTTTTTTAAGAAAAGCAAAATACAAAACCAAAACCAAAAATCAAAACAAAACTTTATCTAAGTACTTGAGACACTTTTCTGATGATCCCACCATTCCATGTCATGTGTTAGAGGTACAAAATAAGATAGCAGCCGGGGACAGATGGGAGTGTTCTGATCAATGGCTCTGGCCCTCCCTTTTACAGGGCATCTGAAGGTCTAGCTGCCTGTTCAAACTATATATAGCAGAATGTCTACTGAGGCATTGGTTCCAGTGTGTTGTAACCTCGCCCTGGAAGTGCTGCACTGAGCCTTCTCATTAGATAAGAGGCAGGAGGGCGTGGAGCATAACAAGGCCCTTTGGTCTCTTGGATGGTAGTTTCTAGTTCCTTATGCCTGCCAGCTTCAAGGGAAAAAAAAAACACCAAGTTTTTCCCAGTGCCCAAGGACCATGGCCTGTACCTCGTTTCCAGGGATGGAGTCGGCTGGTATCCATGAAACCACCTATAACAGCATCATGAAGTGTGATATCGACATCAGGAAGGACCTCTATGCTAACAACGTCCTCTCAGGAGGCACCACCATGTACCCAGGCATTGCTGACCGGATGCAGAAGGAGATCACAGCTCTCGCACCCAGCACCATGAAGATCAAGGTACCATATTAAGACCCCCTGACTCACAAAGCAGAGGTCTAGAGCAGCCACCAGCGTGTGAGGCAGCCTAGCAAGTTCTCTGTTGTTTCCAAAGGGAATGAGGCTAAGGTGAGAGTGATTTAAACTTAGACACACACCCCTTAAAACCGGATCTGAGGAAGCCATTCTGGAGGACTGCCTGGTGAAAGGGGAGCCACTGTTTCCGGGAGGGCTTGTGCTCCACTGGTCCCTATCTGACCAGCTAGAGAGCCCCTCCCTCTGATGGCTGAGCTGCCCGCAGAAACAACTTAATTGGAGTTTGAGAACAGGCAGGCAACAGGCCTCATGCAACAGGACTTAGACAACCCTCAGTTCTCCAAACTTTACTTCTTAAATGGAAATGGATGTGAAACTTGGGGGCCCAGTATGGTCAGAAAGCACAGAGAGCCACTAAAACTGGGGATAGCAAGAGGACATGTTCACGGGACGATCTTGAGTGATGTCAGGAAGGCCCTGCACTATCTGTGTAACTTTTCTGGAAATCTAAAATTAAGGCCAAATCCCCTCACCACGTGAAATAAAAATATGTAGCTTCAAAACAAAACTGTGGGAGCCAATTTTAAAATTAAACCTGATACTGACAAAGTGACCATCACTGACAGTGCCCTGAGCCTATCTCTTTGTATGTAACCAGAGCCTGAGGGCAGACAGAAAGAAAACCTGTGCCCAGCATTTCAGGACACTGTGTTCACTAGTGCTCCCACTGCTAGCCCAGCAACTAAAACCGCAGTGGTGTTGCTCAGCTCTGTTTGAGTTTGCTGTGGCATATCACACCCTGGCCTGAGTCTCTGCACTCTACCCAAGCTAGTAACTCAACAAAGCCAAAACCAAACCAGCAAAAAAGCAAGCATGTCATACATTTGCACTCTGAATAAAGCCAGCCCCTGCAGGTGGACACTCAGGGGGACCTGGAGCCCACTGTGTTGGATAGTGCATTTGGTTGGGATTTCAGAGAGCAGTGGCCAATTTAATCAGGTGAAAGAGCATTTGCATGGTAAATTCTGAAACAATTGCAATGCCCCTGCACATACTGGGACTTCTACGGAAAGTTCAGGTCCTGCTGAGCTCTTAGGCACAGCTCCTGCAATCTCTCCTGGAGACATTGTCAGGGTTTTTATGCAGAGGCCCCATGTGATCCAAGGCCAGTTTGAGTTTACCCAATAAAGGGATGGTTGGAGGAATTAGGGATGATTTGGCATAGATTACATAAAACAAAAACAAAACAAAAAACAGAAAAATCGGTGGGTTCACTGGGGAACCTATACCCCAGCTTGAGAAGACCGCCCTCGTTTTCCAGGAAGGGCCAACAGGAGACACTTCCTCTTGGCACTAATGCTTGCTCTCCTTTGTTATCCCGACAGATCATTGCTCCTCCAGAGCGCAAGTACTCTGTCTGGATTGGAGGCTCCATCCTGGCGTCTCTGTCTACCTTCCAGCAGATGTGGATCAGCAAGCAGGAATACGATGAAGCTGGTCCCTCCATCGTCCACCGCAAATGCTTCTAAGCCACCTCCCCACTCTGTCTTTAGCACACGACTGTGAATGTTTTGTGGTTCAGCGCCTTCAGTTCCTTTCTAAATCATTCCTATCCAAAGCTTTGACTTGTTACTCATGTTTTTTAAAAAAATAAATCAGACCTGTGCTGCCCTTTATTTCTAGCTCTGGCCTATCATCATCAACATTGTGAAGTGATCATTTGTCAGGTGGAACTCATTTATATGGGGCAGCTCCCCCTGGTGGTCAAGCAAGGATGTGACACATTAGAATGACTAGTTACCCGGCAATCACAGAAACAGGGGAAGCCTCAGTTAAATGACACAGGACGCATGTGAGAGTGCATAAGATGTGTATATATTACATATAATAACATAAATTAGTGCCAATATGAAAAATCTACACTGACTTTATGACTGGTTGTGTGACTATATTACTTTATACATATAATGGTAGCCCGATAGGTAAAAACAAAATCAATTTTACATGTATTTAAAATTTGGCAAGCAATACGGTTTTCTAAAATTATATCTTTTGTATTAAACCATACATTTATGCGTGAATATGCATGTGTGGCTTTTAATCGGCATCAAACCTTGTATATTATTTGACTTTAATGTACTCCAAACCTTGTGTCTTTAAGAAGGGGTAAATTTTTGTTTGTTTTTTAAAAAAGAACATACTTTGTAAAACCCTGAGGAGCTTCTTTAATAGTCTCATAACGCACCTGGATCATATTCTCCTCTTCCTTTGACCAGCATCTGTCTCTGTAAAGTGCATCGGATGTGTTTACACTGAAGGGAAGGTAAGATGGCAGTACTTTACGAGGACCAGCCATCACTTATAATACATAGGGTTTCACACGTTACCACTATTCTCTCTTTAAGACTGTGTGCAGATAGTGTTATCAACCGTCATCAGGCGAGGAGACCAAGGGTGTCACAGACATATGTGGCTACTTACAGGGGGAACAGCCCACTTCAACACTCCTTTTCTGTCAGTTTGGGATATGCAAAGGTTTTTTTTGAGAAAAACAGACATATTGGGTTGAAGAGTTGGCTCTGTGGTTAAGAACACTTGTTGGTCTTGCAGGGAATCCTGGGCTCAATTCCTATCACCCACACAGTAGCTTCCAACTAGCTGGTTGTGATTCAAGTCCCAGCGGATCCAATGCTCTCTTCTGACCTCTGCTGGCACTAGGTATGCACATGGTACTCACATATATATGCAGGCAAAACATGCATAATATAAAAATAAGTAAATCTAAATTAAAGTTTACAAATAGACATATTGCTATTTGCAACACAATTTATTTCTGAGGATATTATTTGGGTACATCAATAGGCATAGGTTGAACAGCATGTGACCTCCTTTGAGACACAGCAACCCAAAAAGGAAACTTCAAAATGTGCAAGAACAATAAATATCAAACTTTTGATCTAAAATATATAAATATAAAATATCAGTCACTTCTGGAAACATCATAAGAAATTCAGCAGTCATACATATTCATGGCAGGTATCTGGTGCAGATGGTCTTGTATTTGGAGCATGTCACCTCAGATCCAACACAATTGTTTTGATGTCTTTTACTAACACATGGCTGCATATCTAGAAAAGAAAAAACAGTGTTCCATAATAATGTTTAATGTGTGGTTTTCTTTAGGGAATATATGTATGTATGTATGTATGTATGTATGCACGTATAGTTCCTGACTTATTTTTTCTCAATGTTACAAATATTGCTGAATTGGGTCATGGTAAACACAGCATAAACATCTGTGAGAATAGTCCTTGCTCTTGAGTCTGGCATTGTGGTGTACATCTTCAATCATAGCTCTCAGGAGGCGGAGGCAGGTGGATCTCTCTGAGTCTGAGGGCAACCTGGTCTATATAGTGAGTGATAAGGCTACACAGAAAGACTCTGTCTCAATAATCATCATCATCACAACAACAACAATCATCCATGATGTCTACTCACACTGAACAGCCTGGGGTCCTTGGTGTGAGGATGAAAGCCCTTCTTTTTACAAGCGCAAACCTCAAGCATGCCAGCATTGGTGAGCCTGAAAATGCCAGTGCTAAACATGAGGGGGAAGAGAAGCACAAAGTTAAAGACCATCTGGGAAGACATAAACTGTGGTGATCGTTTGCTTGTAATCTAACAAAGAAAGCTAGGCTAGCCTGAAGATCAGAACGCAAAGCCAGCCGCAGCCATAGAGGCCAGGCAGTGATGGGACACAGCTTTGATCTCAGTAGCTACACTAGTTAGTTATAGAGGTAGTGGTGGGACACACCTTTAATCCCAGCACTCAGGAGACAGAGCACTGCTAGTTCAAGGCCACCCTGGGTTGCAGGAAACTGATGCAGTCTAAAGAAGAAACAGAGCTCACACAAAGGTGATCTCAGCACTTGGGATCCCATACCTTTAATCCCAGCACTAGAGAGGAATACAAGGTGGGAGGGAGACAGGAGCTCAGTGCAGCCTGAGGAGCAGTGTAGTCTGGATGCAAGCTGAGTGGTAGAGATGAGAACTTTCTAGTGGCTGGCCACTCTGCTTCACTGGTAAGCTTTATTTGTTAGACCACAAACAAATTACCACCACAATAAACACACACATTCCTCAAATGGTACCTAGGAAGAAACCACAGACTAGGAATTCCCAGTGACTTTTACAATTAGCCTCACCATGACTACCAACAGATACATTGATCTCCAAGTACCTACAGGACCCAAAAGGGACAGGTAGCTGCACTGTTGAGACCCAGAGGAAAGGCCATATACATGCTCTCCACCCCAGCAGACAGTTCCAATTTCTGTAGTGTTAGTGTTCTTTATGTCAATGATCAGGCAGCTGGCGGTGTTGGGCATTGTGATAAACACATTATAGAAACTCTCATCTAGTGTCCTTCACATCAATCCAAGACAGGCAAGGATGAAGGATGAAGAAGCCAGGTATCCACAGTCTTGCAGGCTTCAAACAATGTCTTTCTGATTCTTATAGCTACTTGTAAACTGAAGTCTCCAGAAAATGAAAAGCCATTCCTGCGTTAAAAGATCCATAATACAAGACCAGAAGACTGATATTCTCCGTGTGGAGGGTCAGAGTATTGTAGATGGGTGCCAAATTCTCTAGAGCTGTGTTCAATTTCTTCAAAACTATTCACTGCCCACCTCTATGTGATGACTATCACAGCTTTAAAAATATTCTTACTAGACCTTTTATTGATCCAAAAGCTACAAATGTCATCAGACAACATCTGATCCCCACAGCTTTGCTGTAACCATTCAACATGCTGTTTCTGCCAAAGTATTTGGTAAATGTCTTGACTTACAACTACCTTTGTTCTGTAAAGAATAAAATCTAATATAACATCTCCCACCATGGAGTATGTTCTTCAGGGCAACTAGAGCCCATGTTCCTGGGCTGTGGCCACTGACATCTGGCTCAAAAATAAAGCCATTCTTTCCAAGATGAGAATGATAATTTGTGTTAACATTTGTATTCCCAAACTAGGAAAGCTTCAGAGGTAACTGAGCAAGGCTAGTACATTTCTTTCCTAGAACACAGAGTGTAGAAATGATTTCTAATCAACTGTGATGTGGACCCTATCACATGTTATCACAAGAACAGAAGGGGAACGAGCAGGTTCACTTTTGAAAGGACTTAAAACAACAACAACAACAGACTATGGAGGTACAGGTATACAGGAACCAGCCACAGCTCATCTCTTGCCGAAGGGAGGGCCTCATATCCAAGCGCCATAGCATGGTGGACTCAGGCGCCCTCTTGTCACACTTACTCTTTATGCTTTGGGGAACACACAATGGCAATAGCCTCCGGCAACATAAGCTGATAGGAGCAGTGAGTGTGAAGATCCACACTGGACAGGAACGCAGTCTGCGTGGGGTGTGTCTACAAATGGGAAAGAAAAGTCTCGTTAGGGAAGCCCATTAGGGAAGTTCACGTAAAACGTTTCCTGTGATTTTTACTGAGCAAATGCCCATGAAAAACATGCTTTGGGGAGGGCTGGTGAGACAGCTCAATGGGAAAAGTGCTTGGTAAGCAAGGCTGATGACCTGGATTCGATCTCTGGAACCTGCGGTGGGAGGAGAGAATTGACTACCTGAAATAGATCCTCTGACTTCCACATGTGTGTCATGGCACCAACACACCTGCACTTGCACACATCGCACTACAACAACAACAACAAATAATAATAATAATAATGCATAAATAAAAATTAATTAGGTGGAGCTGATAGAGTTCTTTTCTATTATACTATTGCTTGTTTCTTTGGAATAACAATGACTCAGAGACAAAATTCCTGTGAGTGTGTATGCTTTCCTTGTGGGAAAGAGTGAGATGGTTTTACTTGCAAAGGCTTGAAATAGATACTCCATTAATCTAATGAGGTAACAATCTGACTATCTCAGTACATACAAGGATCTCCAGACTAAGGAAGACGAAATAACATGACCAGAGATCAGAAACCTGGAGTCTTGGACACCTTTGTATTCTTACAGAACTAAACATAGCACATAAATGAGACTGTCTATGGCTCTTCATCCTTATAAACAGGAGGAGGGAAATCTCCAAATTGCTGAAGGTGTTTGAGACTCATCAAGCTTAGCCACTGAAAACACAAAGACAAAGGAGAATATGAACAAAATTCTGTCCACACTCAACACTCACCCTGCCATAGAGCCACTGACCCAGTACTCTCATTGTTAAAATGCAAAGACTTAGTAGAGGAATGAGAAAAAGGGCTTGTCACCTCTCCTCTGCCAGAGAATACCTTCTTGAGTAAAACAGAGCTGTCTACATCATGGCAGCATGGGAGACATGCTCTAAGGCATCACTGTGCTGTGGAGGCAGCAAGCAAATGTCCATAGAAAAGTTAATATGCCCATCATTTTACTTCAGATAGAATACATCCATGTAAACATACGAGCCCTTCATTTCTGTCTCAAAAACCTCTTTCTGTGCTCAGGAGGACAGCTCTCCCATGGGAGCATGGTACTCCCATTGCAAAGGCAAACGATGATGGTGGTGACAGTAATAGCGGTAAATGCCATTTATTAAAAAGGAATGAAGTACTAGACTGAAAAGGAATCATTTTTTCCATGAATCATGACAGAGTTCTCACTAAGGTCTGTTGTTGTTATCCCTTTCTATAGACTCGGAGATAATTAAGATGAACAGCATTCTAGAAGTCAAAAGAGCCAGGCAAGCTAAGACATTTAAAATTCAGCTCCAGGTCTGCCAGATCCATTCAGACATCCTTCCTGATGATGAGTTTATAGAGAAGATGTAGCCTTGGGACTGGCTGCTATTATCGTGTGCTGTAAAAACCAGCATGACTTCACCAAGCTTTAGAAGTGTAACTAACAGTTGTGTATTTTCATTCAATTACAACAGCTGGATTCAATGAAATCAGTTTAAATCATGAAGGTCTACATTGATGACAAATCCATTTTTAAAAATATTTATTTATTCATTATGTATACAGTGTTCAGGCATGTAGATGATTGTGAGCCACCATGTGGTTACTGGGAATTAAACTCAGGACTTCGAGCAGCCAGTGCTCTTAACCTCTGAGCCATCTCTCCAGCAGCAGCAAGTTCATTATTTAAACAGCTTAAGTTCACTACAGCATAAATAACAGACAGTACATCTTAGGGAAACTTTGATTCTAATTTGGGAATTGTTCAAAATGAACACTGACTGGCCTGCATATGCAATTTTAAAAACTGCCACTTTTATAGTTTGTTATAATTTCCTTGCTACAGCTTGTGTATGCACACTCATGCATGCATTTGTGATGTGGTAGTGTATGTACATGTTTAGTGTGCTCATGCATGCAGAGGCCAAAGGATAGCATCAGGCGTATTCCTCTATTGCTCTCTACCTTATTTAGGGGGCTCAGTTTTTCCCGTTGAACCTGGAACACACTAACTTGGCTAGGTTGGCTGGCTGGCAGTAGCCAGCGATCTCCCTGTCTCTAACTGTCCCCTTAGTTCTGGGATGCCGGGAAGCACCCAGATTGTGAGATAGGCACTGTGTTTCTGAACTCAGGTCCTCATTTTTGCACTGCGAGTACTTGTGCCAACAGACCCATCTCCACAGGTCTCTGTGCTATAGTTCATTTTGCTTTAGGATGCATTCTGGATAACTTCTGTTAGGCTAAATAAAGACCTTAAATCAGTCATTTCCATCCAGGAGTAAGGCATATCATTTATTATTAAAAAGCCAATTAGATGAGTAGAAAGTGTGTTTTATTTTTACAAATAAATTCTCACATTTGAGGGACGGTTTCTACTTTTCAAAGGGCTTTCATATTCCATCTTGTTTACTGATCACAACGAATCAGTGAGGGAACTCATTAGCTTCACTGAGTCAAGGAAAGAACCTGAAAACAAGGAGCTGGTCATGCTGACTAAGAGGACAGAGGGACTCAAAGGCTGAGAGGGAGTGATGTCTCCTCCTCCTTCCTAAATTCTACGGTAATAACACTTAGTAAGTGTGTGTATGCCCACACTTCTCCTCCCCAGCACTTTTTTACAAACAAATGAAATGCAAACCAATCCCTGCTCATTCTTCAGTTGTATTGCAGGCACCCACTGTGCCTTGGAACTTTTGGCCTGCGTCCCATTCAAGTGAGATGGCCTGTCTCTGTCTGCTCTCATTAGAATGATGTTCCCTGGGTATTCTGTAGGGGAACCTAATCAAAGAGAGATCAGTGATAGGAGTGGCCTTCAGGAGGGCTCCAGGATGAAGGAAATATACTCTTCCTCCATGAAAGGATAGAACAATGAGGTATGTCTATTTTGGAAAGAGAAAGCAGATCTCACTGGACACCAATGCCATGATGTTTCTACCAGTTCCTAGAACTATAAGAAGGAAACCTTTCTTTTTTTATAAGTAATCTAGTCTTAGATATTTTACTACAGATGCATAAACAGACAAACACAATGATCCAGATTGAGTTGTATACCACTAAATAGAAAGAAAAATCCCTTAGATTACTTGAACTATGAGAAATAGACTACCTTCATCAATTACAAGCCATGGTTTTTCTGAGTCACTAGGTGATACTACGAAACTCACTGGCATGATTTCATTTAACATTCAATATCATATGAAGTCAACTGTTGTGGTTCCCGCTTTGTGGATGATGAAGCTGCTGACACAGTTAACTTCACTTGCCAATGCTCATATCATGAACTCTTAGCACAGCTGGTATTTGTTAAATGGATGTCTGTTTGATGAATAAGTCCTGTTTCACACCTACAGTGGTCCAAGAGATGCTAGAACCCAATATCCTGTCTCTAGTCATTTGTTCAATGCCCCATCCATTTTATGTGCACACTTCTGCTCTGTGGGGCAGGGCACTGAGTGTGAGGACCCTCTTTGGTATACACAAACATTGTTTAAAAGAAGTGTCATCAGGAAAATGTTTCTAAGCTAATTTAGACCCACAGCAAAGGAAAGGAGACGATCACACAGTTAAGAACCTGGCCAAGTCTCTGTTAGATCATCTGAACCCTTCAGAGAAAGACCTACCGTCATGTGCTACCTTTCTTAACTCTGCGTGAAACAGAAAAGTATAGGATACCCCCTTTCAAATCCAGATGTGACCAATTTATACACAGCCTGTCATGGAACAAACCACTTTAATATCTTGACACTTATTACCACTGGGAAAATGTAAAAACAAAAAAATATTTAAATTCAGCTAATTCCTGTATGAAGAAAACAACATAGCACACAAAAATAAACCCCAGGGCCAAACGTACATGAATCCATCCGAGCGTGAGGAGACCATGTTGATCCTGAACACTGAACAATTCCTCTACATTCTCCATGTCACAATAGTCTGGGCCCGCAGACTGCTTTGGCACGATCACATGGGTGATAGTGAATTCGTTATGTGTCTACAAAACAATTACCCAAGAACAGTAACAAGTCTCTGACAGAAGAAACCTCTGAACGGGACGTGGGATGCTTTGTTAATGGCTAGCAGATCCCACCACTTGTACTACTACCCCTCTCACTAAGACAGTATAACAATTCAAAAACAAACAGAAAAGCTGACTCCCCTGAAAGTTTCAGGCTTCAGTCATTTGGGGCTTGAAACCCATTCTGTGGTAGAATACACAAATGGAATTAGCACCAAGGAGAGCAATGGAGAATGGAGGTTTAGTGAATAAACAATGCCTTGGCAGACTACACCTATGAATGAAAATGTCTTCACACAGCAATGCCGGTTTCTGTGGGGGACAAGGACTAATTTGACAAATGTATGGTGTTATTAAAAGGTACTCCTATAAGTTGTAGGGATTGATGTCTTGTTTTCACTAATTATATGTAATTATGAAAGAATTACAGCTTTCCTAAGAGTCACTAGTGTTTTCCAAAAATTGAAATAATATGGCTCTTACAATTAAAAGAAAGAAGAACCATTGCTCTCCCTGGGGAACAGAAAGGGTCTTGAAATAAAGATGGGGGTTTCAGGTCACTGGGCTGTGAGGTGATGTTATCTCCAGGCCCTTGGCCTCCCCATCCTTCAACAGCACCACTCTCTCTTGCCAGCCTCAGGATCTACCCATTGAGCACTATTCCTTGCACCTTGATTTGTGATTTACCATTTTTCTAAATATTTTGTTTATAACAACTTTATGTTTTTTCTGAAATTTTAGAGTTCATTTGAAAGACCCTTATCCAGGACCCCCTAGGAAAAGAAAAACAAGGCCAGGCCGTTGCCTAATGAAAAAACCCAGACCAGGTGCCTCGCCCAGCTGGCAGGATGTCAAACAGGATCTGTGGTCACCAGAGCAATCATGGGACCCGGATAATAATTGCTGAAGCGTGCCGGGGTCTTTCATGAGGTAATACCAGGAAATTTAGTCAGTGGGAACTACCCCTGCCCCCAAGATGAGCCAATGAAATGCCTGTTGCTATGCTGATACTTATGTAACCATTAAAACTCTATAAATATTGTGCTCCCTGCAAGTCCAGTATGCTCTGCACCCGTGTTGCAGTAGCATCCGCAGGCGCCTGTGTACTCAATAAATCACCTCTTGCATTTGCATCCAGTGGTCTGGCCCCGGTTCTTGGGCAGAGGGTTCGGTTCAGTGCCCAGCGCTTTGATGCCAAGGTCTTTCAATTTTTTGGAATGCTGAGTTCATGAACAATGATGGTAGTTTAAGAAAGTTCATATGTATAAGGTTAATTTTCTAATACTTACAGCCCCTCCCCCACGTGCTTCCCCGCGCCCCCCCCCCCCCCCCCGCTCTCCTTATCACAGGGAGCCCAGTGCTACTGAGAGCAACCTGTTGAGAGATGAAAGGAGACCGTACCAGTTTGCCACAGAGGATCCCACAGGTTTCTATTCCTCTCACTGTGTTAGACTCAGCCAGCAGCAGAAATTTATGGCAAAGATCTCTTGATAAAACCACACATCTCAGTCCTTCTACCACTAAATCTAAGACAGAGAAAGGACAAACATAATAAAAAACAAATCTTGGGTCCCGTCCTTCAGAACTGAATTTCGGTGAACAGCTAAAGTATGAATTTCAACATTATTAGGTGTTACACTTTCCACGGTTCATTAAAGAAAAAAAAAATCCCTTGAAAGTAAATATTGATTAGAAGGAGGGTAAACTGACATGTACATTTCACATTCAAATTATTTTATAAGAAAGTTTATAAAGAGCCAGCACTGTTACACAATAGTCCTCTGGAACAACTCTTGCATACGTGGGTTTTCTTTCTGCACACTGCAAACATGCCAATAAACCCACAGGTCACAGTTCGCATATCATAAGGCACAGGTTGAATATCTCTTATTGGGTTTGATATGTGCTATTTCTAGCCCAATGAATGTGGGAGGTCAGTAAACAAAAGCCTGTTTTCCGGAAATAATTACCAGTAAAGTAGCATGCACAGTGGCTGCCTACCATGATTCCTCAGCAGGTGCCTCTGTCAAAGAGACTTGCTCACTCGATGTGGGAAACTTTCCAGAGACTGACAGCACTTAACTAACACCACTAAGTGCTGTGGAAGCCCACACGGCTCACAGGTTGTCTGTTGATGAGACTGACACACCATCTGTCCATGTTCCTGCTAAACACTGCACTTAAGTCTGACTATTGAGCCAGGGTCTCAGCAACTAATTTCTCAGTGTCTTCCTTCTGGAGTCCCTAGTGTGTCTTGAACAAAACACAAAGCAGGAAAATAAATGCCTAGACTTCTCATTCACAATCTCTATTCAGCATCAAAATATGGCTCTATAATCAGACAAGTTAGGTGGGTGGGATTTTAAAGTTAGATACAGTAAAAGACGTGGTGCCTGCCTCCTATGTCACTTACTCTGAACAGCACTTAAAGCCGCTGGCTTTAAGGCCCTGTTCACGGGAGGAGAATGGTCAGCGAAACCGCTTCCATCACTTTTATGAGGCTGATCGGCAAATACATTCCGCAGAGAGTTGCTCTGGTGGGTAGAAAAGCAGGAGAGCCCGCTTCCATCCGTCTGCTCAGACAGCACTGCCGGGTCTGGACCTCGCATCTGGCCTCGGGCCAACTCCTGCTTCTTGAGTTGATCTTCGAAAAACAGGAACTGTTCGGATTCTAGTTGCTGCTGGCGCATCTGAGCTATCCGCTTGCGCTCGGCCTCTATCAGTCTCTGATGTTCCAACGTCTTGAGAATCTCAGCTCTATATTTGTTCTGAGGAAGGGGTTGCCAGAAGAAAGCCTTAGTTTCCAAGCCGAAAACATCAAGCTGAAATTAGATCTTTATTCTTGTGTGTGTGTGAGAGAAAGATTCATAGTAAAACAAAAATAAACATCACCCTGAATTTGATAAAGAAGGCCGTTTCTAAATCCATACTGTTTTATGAGAGGCAGCACAGAAATCATGCTCTACACTTCCCGATGGTTCTAAATACTGTAATGATCCCTCTGATGGCTTGAAACTATTTATCTTGTCCCTTAAACATCACTGCCCTATCTGGTAGCCACTTTTAGTCCCTGCTGTTTCAATTCAAACTCACTGAGATGAAATAAAACTAACAACGGGGTTCTCAGGCACACTAGTCACATCCTAAGTACCCAGCAGCCTCCTGTGCTGGTGGCTGCTGTACGAGAAACCACAAACGGAGCAAGTCCGAGGTTACACAATCTTTTCCTTGGGGCTCCCTAGGGCCTTTGAAGATTGGTATCATGCATCTTCGGGGCATACTTTGTGGAGAAAGGGATTCACAGAGAAGTGGTTCCCCAAAGTGCTTCCCATTTCTTCTATCAGCGACTCTATTTCTTCTAACCAAATGTTCTGTTAAAAATTAAGAATACCAACACCTAGTCCTAACAAAATATCTGGGCATTATTAGGATAGAGCAATCCTAAGAATCTACTAAGTTCCCCAACTTATGTTGAAAGAAACAGTGGCGAGCTACTGAAAGGCAGGGAGAATATAGGGGAGTCAGTTTACAGCGATGCTTTACACACACACACACACACACACACACACACACACACACACACACACACACCACTCTGGGCCTTGTTAGCATTAGGAATTCTGATTTGGCATATACTCTACATTTCTAACAAGCACCAGGGAAGGCAGGTGCTGCCCACAGTCAGTGCTTGCAGGTAGGCTTAATCCCACTCGACCTCTCCAGAAATTTGCACATGGGGTATAACTGTGGGCTGTGGGGTAGAACTGTGTGAGGCCACTGGTGTTACCACAGAAGAACATGGCACAGATGTCTGATATGCTCCTCCTAGGGAGACCCCGCCAGAGCACTGTCCTCATTCCTTCTATATTTTAGCTAAAACACCTCACGCCAGCCAGCCTTCCAGCTATGCTCCAGAAGCTGTAGGCCTGTTAGCATAGAGGGTGAGCTTGAAGTGAAGTGAGGGGTGGTGAAGCCAGAAACCTCCAAAGCAAATGGGCACTCAACCACAAAGAAGCAAAGCAACACTTTTAATAACCTTGGAAGACCTAAGATCTGAGGACCCCATAGGTTTCCTGGAACCTCCCCTTTCTCCGCCCTTCAGTCTCCTTTCGCTATGTAATAACGATCCAGAAACTGGCATCTGTTGGAACTATGATCATGTTTCACCCACACGGTTAGCTGTACTGTCTTGATGAAACGTTGACTGTACAATTTAAGAACTAAATTCACATTTCCAAGGCCTGTGTAATTAAATACATCAAAAACCATGCTCTGTTTCTTTCTACTTTCTGCCGCTTCTGTTCATCTGGAAAAAAGAATGGATCAGCCATCTGGCTCAAGCTTGCACTGGCTCGAGTCGGTCAGAAGTGTCATTAAATCACTGTAGGAAATGTATTTCCTAATGCATTGCTCTAGTAGATGTTTTAGGAAATGGAGATCCCACATCCTTAGTGCACATGCTTCATCCGGACAGTAGCATGAATCTTTTATTAGTTTCACATCACTGCATCTTTAATTTTTAATTTAATTTTATATATTGCAAAACCTCACACAGAAATGAAATTCAAAAATTATTTCACAAAAGCAAGAACAGTGAAGAAATAAAACATGCGTATTGTACTTACTTTGCTTTGCAAATACTCTTGGTATTCTGTGTTATATTTCCTTAGCAGGTCCTTTTTTAATTCATCTGTCCTTGGGAATGCAATCTCCTTCAGTTTCTTTCAAAAATATATACACATATCAATTAGTGGGATTTGTCAATATACTCAGATATCAGTTGAGAAAAAAACAGCTGGAATGTATATTAGAAATCAAGTTATAAGAAGCAAAGATAAGCTCAGAAAAATAAATCTACTCTAGGATTCCAAAATACATACAGCTATTAGCAATGAAGAAAATAAACTCTGTCTCTGTGTGTGTGTGTGTGTGTGTGTGTGTTCCTTTGTAATATCTTAATTGGTTCCACTAGTTAGATAAGCATTTTGTTTAGGCAGTTATCAATAGAATTTCACATTGTGTTTGGGAACAGTTAATATTGGCAATACAAAGAAGATGAAAGGGTATATAGTGCATATAAATTCCTACATGTCAGATGTAAAAAGCAGCTAAGGATTTCAAACAATTTATATTCCAGGGCTAATCCCAGATATACTGGCTTCACATCTCTAGGGAGATGGTTCTTATTGACAAGAAAACCTAGGGAACTAGATAGAGTCCAATTGCACCCTCCCTTGTGGAGGAAAGGAAGCAAAAGCCTAATGAGATTGGTTTGTACAAGCAGTTGATGGTTCAGTTAGGACAAGGATCCAAGCCTCTTGTCTCTAGCTAAACTCTCCCACCAAAATTGCTTTCTAGGAGGTAAATGGTTACATACCACTTAACAACAGGGATATGTCCTAAAAAAAACTTGTATTTCAGTGTTTCTATGTAAGTGTATACTATGTGAAAATCATAGTATACACTTACATCAACTAAGATGGTTACAATGTCACTAGGCAATAGAAGTTAATGGAACCATTGTCATCTATAGAGTTCAGGGGTTGAGACATCATCATGCACAAAGCACATGATTGTAACTAAATCTTGGGGCTACCTCAAAAATCACCCCGGATTTTCACATAATTATTCCATCCTGGGGGAATAATCTAAAGTAGAAGTGGTTGCTTCAGGTAAATACATGGAACAACCATTTTCCAAATCTCTGGGAGGACTTGTAAAGAGTTCCTTCGTTACATTGTAAGTTAATGGAGCACATTCTCCTCTCTCTCTCTCTTCTTTTTCCCAATGTAAATTAGACACCGTGAATGGCCACAGTCATAACCATTAAACCTGTTAGGAGGAAGTCAAAATGTCATGGCTGATGAAATGGAATTCTTGTGGTTAACTCTTCTGAGGACAGGAATATGTGAATCAATAACATATACTTAAGGGCATTTGATCCCATGGTGGAGGATCAACCCAGTGTACCTTCATGATATCCTGCTTCTCTGGTACTTCACATTGCTGATAATCTCGATGGCTGGGAAGCTTTTCTACAAACAATCTACAGAAAGAGAAAACATGGCAACAGCATTTCAGGACAGCAAAAAGCCAGTGATAGTTTCTAAGGAGCATTCTTTAAAAAAAGTCCACTCAACTTTTTACTTAACTATGGTCTTTCCACCCACCTTTTCAATAAAGGTCAATATATATATATACATATATATATATGTATGTCTGGTTCTATGACCTATTGAAAATATAATTCAGAAACCAAAACTTATACAACAATTTGGCAATAAACTGTGGTAGACAGACCTGAGTTTCATAATTATTGCTCAGCTTCCTGGTAACCATTGATTTTTCCCAGTTAGATTGAAGGCAGTCACCAATTCTTTGAATTTCTGTATTAGGTTTTGAGCTTATTAACTTGGAAATTAAATAATACATGATTTTTTTGTCTTCACCTTGATGGTTTCATTAAAAACAGTTTTTAAAAAATGTTTTATTGTTTCAACTTGAATGTTTTCAGAATAACAGTCCCCAACTGAACTACTGACATTATAGACAAACAAAATACAGAATACAAGTATTTAATGATCTCACTTACATTAAGGAGGTTTTGTTTGTTTGTTTGTTTTTTCGAGACAGGGTTTCTCTGTATTGTTTTGGAGCCTGTCCTGGAACTCGCTCTGTAGACTGGGCTGGCATGGAACTCACAGAGATCCACCTGCCTCTGCCTCCCAAGTGCTGGGATTAAAGGCGTGTGCCACCAACACCCGACACATTAAAGAGTTTTAAAAGACAAAGTCTATGCCACACCTAGTGGTGTGCACTTGTAATCTTCAAGACTTGGGAAGTAGAGGAAGAAGAACAAGAGTTTAACTTCATCCTTCCCCAGGTACCTAATATGTTTCAGTGAGTCTGGGCTATATGAAACCCTGACTCCAGACAAGGTGGAAGGGAGTACTGGCACTTGATGCTGTTTTCTGAACTCCATATGTATGCTGGGGCATGTACACACCTGCATTCATGCATGCAAATGCACACATATGTAAGTGATTATGCACACACACACACACTTTTTAAAATATCAAAGGGTGCAAAATTATAGTTTGATGAGAGGAATAAGTTTAGAGAGTTGGTGTACAACATGGTATCTATGAATAATGAACTATATTCTAGAAAGTTCCCAAGGCAATGAATTCTTAAACATTCTCACTATGGAAAATGGCAAGTATGTGATGTATAACAAATTATTTAACTTAATTTAGTCATTGGAAAATATGTAGGCAAATAAAAACATCATAAATATACACAATTATTTTTCAATTAAAAACAAATTAATGAAATTAATTAACATTTGGCCTTAAACTAAAACAATAAAAGGCTTAGCTCAGATTCCATCACTATTGTTAAGAAGGGATCTTCTAGGCAATGAAATTACCAAACTTGTAAAGGAAGTCCAGAAGCATGCTAACTATTAAAGTTAGGATGTATTACTAACAAACATCTGACTGGGAATGCGTTATCTTCTGATGGATATTGTGGTGTAGTCACTTTTGCTCAATATTTTGAAAGCTCCTTTGTATATTAAATTCTTGCATAAACAAGCAAATGCCTTATCAAAGCCAACTGCCTAATTCTATGTAAAATGAACTACTGTGCGCTCTCCAGAAATCACATCCCTCCTACACTTCCCACGGTGTCCCTGCTCTCTACCCTTCAAGCCAAAATTTTAAAATATTGATGACAGACTCTCCAGAAAGCTAATGTTCCTATAGGAGGAAAATGCATGAAATGTGAATCTACAGTTATGAAGAAAGAGACAGGTTAGGCTGGGTGTTGAGAGCCTCAAGCCCTCTGACCTTCTCATTCTTGAGGCTCATGGAGGATATCTCGATGTTTTTCAATGTGTATAAACATAGATAAATCCAGTTTTTAAAAATGGTTAAACTGGTTTGAATACAAACACTCTCACGGTATCCAAACTGCCATGTCCAAATATCACGTAAATATTGTTTCAATGTTCTCATTCTAAAGACCTCTAAAACCAGACTTACGTTATAAATTTGTTATAAAGAACAAAGGCATTTTCCAGGTTTCCTTCTTCCAAATACACGGATGCCATCCTTTCCATTTCTACTCCAGACCTGAAGTAACGGCGTGGGGTGATGTCTTCATTAATGGAGATGTTACAACCAAGCTTGCTTAGGGCACGGACCCGCTCCTCTGGACTTAGAGACACATCTGTATGATCAGGCATAGCAGCTAACTTTTTCTGCAATGCAACATTTAAATATCTGATTATAGTTTTTTAAAAATTACAGAACTTTAATTCATGTCATTTCTGTACCACAAACCCAGTACTCAGAAACTCCTTCTACAAGAGTTAATGATAGGACCAATGTAAAAATCTTCTTGCATAAGCACAGTCAAGAACATACCCAGGAAAAAGTAAACACTTTTATTGATATAAGAACTCTTCATAGGTTTCAAAGTACATTTATGTGACATTTCCTGGGTATGCAAGTGTTTCAGGTAAAGAATCATGTAATCTGTGGATGATAACCATTCTGGGTCATTCTTGCCACAGGAGGGCTCATGTCATTGGACTCTAAGGCTCTCCAGAAAGTTGCTTGCATTAAAGTTATTGTTAGGATTTGGTTCTATCCCACAATATATCTAGTTTAATTAGGAGTTTCTAGGTTTTCACTCTACTGTAACTGAATAAAAATAAATGACAACAACAACAGAAAATAAAACAAATAACTCCTGAAAAGCACTTTGGGAAAAAAGTGTCTAAACACTGCCTAAACCCCCCCCCCCCCCATTTTTTAAACACAAATAAATCTAATAAATTTCTCCATTAAATAGTAATTGCTCTGTTAATTAGTTCTCAAGTGAGAAAATGATAATATATTATGAATAAAGGTCATTTCTATTGCTGTCTTTGAATTCTGCTACTAAAGTTATCATGTATACTCTCAGAGGTGCATAGAGCATACACAATCAGTAAGAAGACATTGTGCCGCAGAGATGCAAGACTGCAAGACTTGGAGACTGTTTTTTTTTTTTTTCATTTATTTGCGGCCCAATAGTAGATATTTTATGTTCTTTCTTACAACTTGGATTAAGGTCTCCACACATGAAAACAGCTGTAAACAACACAGAAATGAACAAGGCTGGCTCCTTGCCAAGGCAATGAATACAGCACTCAAACTACAGCATGTTTCCCTGTAATTCAGACTTGTCTTTCTCAAGAATATGGTCCAGCCACCTGCAGCATCAGTAGCAACAGGACCTTTCTTTAAAAAAATGCAAATTCCTAACTGGCTGCACTGAAGATCTACAAACTCGAGATCTCTGGAGGTGGCTGGAAAACTGATGCTTCAGTTAGTGTTCACAGAAGAGCTTAGTGTGTTTTCCAGCTTTAAGCCACTTGACCATTATTTCATGCTCCAAGAATGAGGCTACTCTAGAGAACATTTAGCTTCTTATGGCCTTTCTTCATCAGATATTCAGTTCCCTATGTTCCCAGAGAAAGAAGTTTATGGTCCAAGTGACCATGATAAAAGGATATACAAAATTTTGACCATCACCTTATACTTTCTGATCTGTTTTCTCTTGATCAGGAATTCCAAAACTAGAGATATATAATGAGCAGCAATGCAATATGTGCTCCTTCCTACTTTAGTCTGTTTATGCCAAAGCAAACACATTTCTTTCATTAGATAATGGGAACCAAAATACAGTTGGCGGAAAGAATTAAAGTTCTAAAGCACATCAGAGTGACAAAAGATCACAATTTATAAAATAATGTGAAAGTTTCTAACATAGAGAACTGGAAACAACAACTGCCCTGTTCCAATCACTGCAGTGTGCACATATATTGAATTAACATTCCATACCCTATAAATACGTTTTTAACGTCTGTTGGAATTTATCAAAGGCATTTTCTAACAAAATCCAAAATCTTTTCATGATAAAATTCCTGTAGAAAAAGGGATAGGAAGAAGAAATCTCCAGGAATAAGGGTATGAGAAACCAATAGGCAACCATAGCATTAAACAGAGAAAAACTTGAAGCATTCCCACTAAGATCAGAGATGGAAATGGAAGCTTGTGAACTGTGCTTCAGTATCTTTACCAAATAAGATTTCTCTAGCACTCCAGCAACTCATCCACCTTCCCTCCATTAAAACTCCCCTGTAAAACTCAGTGGCACTAAATGAAAGTATTATCACTCAGCCATAGATAATTGTCTCAATGACAAAAACAAAAAACAAAACAAAACCCAACAAGATTTAACAATCACAGCATTGCCTAAGGAGAGCCTCTAGCCCCACAATACACAAGAATTATTTACAGTTCACAACGAATCAACCACTTCTATAAAACTGTTTCTGACCCCTCACTAATTGCCTGGGCAATTATTTTCTATTGCTTTCTAGGATGCAGCATATTCCCTGAAACAGAGTTAATCTTCCGAAGATGGAGAGAGAGAGAGAGAGAGAGAGAGAGAGAGACAGAGACAGAGACAGAGACAGAGACAGAGACAGAGAGACAGAGAGACAGAGAGAGGAGCTGGAAGTAGAGATCCGTGAGTGAAAAGGGTGTGGACTTAGCACATATAGGGCCTGAGTTTGAGCCACAATCCAGACAGAAAGATAGAGAGGATTAGATTATCAGAGATATACTGGGAAATTGCCCAACACCATTGGTCTTTAATTGCATATGAACATCTTGGATGATGACACCAATTTCCCACATTAAAAAAAAAGTGTTCCTTAATACATTAACTTACATTAACAAATACGACAGTGATGGGGGTTGTTCTTCAGTATATATGTTTCTTTTATTGGTTGATGAATAAGCACTATTTGGCCAATAGCCAGTAGAGGCAGGAAGGTAGGTGGGGTGAGGAGATAAGGAGAAGTCTGGGAAAGGTAGGCAGAGAAAGACCAAAGGAAGACACCATGTAGCCTCCAAAGGAGATACAGGTTCAGGCATTCTCCAGTAAATCAAGACCATGTAGAAATACACAGATTAATAGAAATGGGTTAATAATTAAGACAGAGGTAGCCAGTAAGAACCCCTAGTCATCAGCCAACAATTTTATAATTAATATTTTGTCTGTGTGTTTATTTGGGGCTGAAAGGTAGCAGCAGTACCAGGCTGGAAAGAGAAGCTTCAGCAACACAAGAGAATTTAAATTACTCAAAACAATATCATGGAAGAACACATGGTACCTATGAAAATGACTGCCTCATCTGCAGAAGTAGAGAGGGAGACTTTGCTACTTTATACCCCAGTACAATGATCCTGTGATGTCAGAAAGTTCAATCTTTCTGCAGGAGCGCCTTCTCAAGCAGTCTACAAATGACTGAGTTCCTGAGAAAGTGGAACTTGCTCGGGATTAAAGAATCTAGATAGGTGGGACTAGGAGTCCAGGAGGATTCTGGGAAGGAGAAACACAGGAGAGATCAACATGTAACGCCATGAGGTAGGAAGCCCGGAACTATTCTCCGGTAAGAGACATACTTAGATTAACAATTATGGGGTAATTACTTAAGTCAGAGCTAGCCAGTAAGAAACAAGCAAGGCCAACAGCTTTATAATTAATATAGCCTCCTGTGTTTATTTGGGACTGATGTGGATCTAGAACCAGGCGGGCGGGAAGGGAGCCTGGTTCTAGATCCACATGTGAGCCAAATAAACACACAGGAGGCTATATTAATTATGAAGCTGTTGGCCTTGCTTGTTTCTTACTGGCTACCTCTGACTTAAGTAATTACCCCCATAATTGTTAATCTAAGTATGTCTCTTACCGGAGAATGGTTCCGGGCTTCCTACCCCCATGGCGTTACATGTCGACTCTCTTGTGTTTCTCCTTCCCAGAGTTCTCCTGGACTCCTAGTCCCTCCTATCTTGGTTCCCTATAGGCTCAACAGTACTTTATTGACAAATGCACAGGACTTCCCCCAACAACATGTGATCCCAAAGCCTTGGCTGCTTCCTCTCCAGCAGGCTGCATTTCGGGAATGCAGCTGGAAAAGCTGTGAATTCTGAAGGACTGCAGAGGGAAACTGAGAAAAGTGAGAGTTTCAAGGATGCAGGCACATAAGGCAGATGGGCAAGTAACACAGCCACGCTGAACATGCAATACTTTTCCAGTTGTCACCATTCAAAGCAAGCCTCCAACTTCTCTCTGTAAAGAAGCTGAGACCAAAGTACTCAATGTGTTGTCTACTCTGGAATCCCCTCCAGTGTTTTTCACAATGACTGACACACCTAGAACCCAGCCGCACAGATTAAACTATCACAGAGTTGTGAGCAAAATGTTATTTTTGTCTTGCCAAGATGGCCTTATTAGTCACTTCCTCGAAGGACACAGCCACACAGAAGGCTACAAGGAAGTGCTGTGCTTCTTGACGCGGTTGCGACTCTTCAGTCTTTTCACACTTGGTCCTTTCTGTTCTTCTTTTGGGGTTTTTCAAGCATAGGCAAAGTGTCAGTTGGCAGGACTTACCAGCGAGTTCACAGTGAAGGGCTGCTCCATGCTGTCCTGTCTGCAAAGGCAAGGGGCTCACTCTTTCTTCTCAATCACTTCATCTGTTTCAAAGACACAGAGCAAAGCTGAGGTTACTCGATGGGAACTCGTCTCATTCCCCAAGTTCCAAGTTCAAAGGGGAGTGAACACTTTGAAAAACCTTACATGACCAGAGTACCTAGGGAGACTATGGAGTTTTCAAGGAAATACAAAACCATGGGTGGTTGTAGGTTCTTGAAATTGATCTTTTTCAATGGTGGAGAGATGCAGGGAATTAATGTTTGATGAGCAGAATGTATGAAGCTGCTGTGTGCTAGTTAATTTGCTATCCTATGTAAGGCTATATATAAAGCAGGCTTACTTCATTCAAAAGGAGAAAGAAGAACATAGTTGCTATGAACAAGAATGCCGAGGCACTGACTGGAGCAGAGCCTGGAGTCAGACTGGGCTTAAATAGTCTTAAAGTTGCATTTAGTAGAAGTATAAGACAGCTCTGTGAGGTCTGCCATATGAACCACAGTTTGTAGAGTCGCCTTGCCTCGAGAATAGACAAGACCTGTCCTAGTGGGCCTTCTGCCTACCAAACATGATAAATGAATATTGCTTCCATGATTATGCTTCATCACAGATCAAAGATGGGGATTTATGACAGGTATATTACTGCTCAGTAAGCAGTTGGCGATAAGTTAATTAAAACCCAGGCTACTGTGAGGTCCTCACCAAAGGAAGTGACACTTTGAACAGAAGAAACAGGTGTTCTGCTTGTTTTGAGACCCAGATGCCAAGAGTTCTGCAGCTGCAAGAAAACTAGTTCTACCAAAAAAACCACAAGAGATTCAAAGAGGAGCCACAGCCAGAACTGAGCCCTAACCCACCAACACCCAAGTTACAGATCTCTAGTCTGTCCTTGCTAGGTCAACAGCTTGACTGCAGCCTTAAGATGGCATGCAGAGAACCTAGGTAAGCTATGCTCAGACACATGCTCCACAAAAATTTGAGATGAGTACAGGTTGCCTTTAGCCATTAAATGCATGGAAATTAATATGGCAGCAATAGAAAACCAGCTCTGTGACTACAGGTAAGTTCTAGTGTTGAGGCATCTGAAAAATGGAAAAATTATAGTACTAATAAAATGACTACAACAAGGATTAAATGAGTTAGCAGGTAAATTCCAATATTCTATAACCATTAAAATTACCAGAATCTTTATTTTTCAGTTGAGGAAACTAGATTCCAACAGTGTTACCTGGGTATGCCCAAGTTCAAATCTTAACTCAACAATTGCTAGTCTTTCCTTTGTACGTCAGCATTGTCCAACCTCTCCATCCTCACGTTCCTCCTCTAACCCCATTTGGACATTCATCTTCTCACTTAGCACTGTGGAAGGTGACAGTCTCTTAAGCTGCAACATTCTGTGATTTCAGAAAGCATCAATCAGATCAATCGACTCTTCTTAACGTTATTTTTTATCCCAAACCCACAAAAACCCTTCAAAGAAAATGACTCCCCCTTCAAAGTCTAGCCTTTACCCTCTTGCTTCCAGTTAATCTTGGAGTAAATGCTGATCAGGATGCTGAGTTACAAAGATGCTCTGGAAAACTGCCCTAGTGAGCTACAGTTACAAGTCACAGTGGGAACTGATGACTCTGGCACTGGGCTGATGCAGAATGCAGGCAACTCTCACTGTGGCATGGCCACTTCTTAGCTCTCAGAGAACAACAGAGCCTAAGAGTCAAAGAGACTCCCTGCTTGATGCAGTTGCACATGTCTGTAACCTCAGCATCAATGGGGCAGTTGAGTCAGTAGGATCAGGAGTTCAAAGTCAGTTTCAGCTACAAAGAGAGCTATATAGAACATCGGAATGCCAGCCTGGGGTAAGTGAGACCCTGAGTCTGTCTCAAACATCAAAAAGAAGAAGGGGAAGAGGGAGTTAGAGAAAGAGTCAGGACAATGTGAATGGGTGGGGGAGGGTGCATGAGAACAAAGAAATACTAGTCATTCGGCTTCATAAAAGTAGAATTATTTGTGCAGAGGTGGTGGCAGGAGGATCAGAATTCTGTTCAAGGTCATTCTGAGGTACACATCATGTTCCAGGTGCCCTTTAATTTATCAACTAATTAAAATACAGAGTCCTAGAACTCAGTCACAAAGATTCTAATGCCAGGAACAGGCATTGTAGAAAGAAGCTTGGGATGTCCATACAAAAGCTTCCAGAAGCTACCGTGGAAAGAACTGCACTTACTGCATCATCCAAGAGTCTTAGTTGCAGGCAAAGACCACACTCTTGAATAATGTAGACATCATGTATTTCCAGGAAGTCCAGCGAAATTGGGCTGTGAGGCTGCTTTTCCAGGAACAGCACCCCAAAGCTCACAGAAGTCTGGAAGACCAAAACGCCACCCTGCTGTACCTGTCACAGAGCCAGCAGAGTTGTCTACAGTTTCAGTTACCAGAGATTTCAGCAATGAAATGTTGCCATGGAAACTATGTGCAGTTGCCTGAGGGGGTTTCTACAAGTCTGTAGTTTTCATATCACAGCATGAAACAGATGTTCATCAGTTATGCCTGGGTCACATGCCTGCAGCATGGCTGTAAAGAAGGCTGACCATGACCATGACCTACTAAGCATTTCACATTTCTATAGAAAGCAATACATGTGCCAAATTAGAAACAACATGTTTAGGGTAGGTGGCCGACCACAACAGTAAGTGTGCAAAACCAGATGAATGAAATTTTCTTTGTTATGTGTTTCTATTTCTATAAAATGCTTAGTTCATATATCTTAAAATGTCAGAATTAATTAGCTTGGCACAGTTAAAATAACATTTTGAACTTTCACACTTAAGCTTATTATTCAATGGTAGAAACCAAGCCCAAATATAAGATGAAAGAAGTTCACAGATTGGTTGACCTATCTTTTGGCCCGTTCATCGCATCATGGCACGGTTCCTATAGGAATTCCCGTATTCCAAGTTGCCCATTATGAGTCACAAAGTGGTATGCTGTCTAGGTTGGTGGCTCTCAATATATAGACCAGGTATCCTAAGATATTTTCAAGGGCATCAAAGGTCAGTATTATTTTCATGATATTACTGCAGCATTTGCTTTCTGGTACAAGTGTGGCTGAGCATGTATGTGCGTGTATGGATGAATGTGCACCTGTGCCCATGAGTGTGGAGGCCAGAGGTCAATGTCTTCTGTCTTCCTCAGTCACTTCTCTGCCATATGTTTTTGAGACAGGATCTCTCACTGAATATGAACTCACTAGTTAGCTATCTATGCAAGCTGGCCAACAAGCCCAAGGGATTCCCTGCTATCAACTCCCCAGGGCTAGGGTTACAGCCAAGCCCTTCCTGGCCCAGCTTTTATGTGGGTGCTGAGGAGCTGACCCCAGTCCTCAAGCTTGCATAGCAAGCCCTTCATCAAAGCCATCTCCCAAGCTCCATTATTTTTGTTTTTTTGGTATTCATCTCTCACAATTGTGTTTTAGAGGGTTCTGAGGGGGAGTTGTAATTCATAGAACCTCCACTTCAATTCTCTAAATGTCTATTTTAATATTTAATGGTATAAATAACCAACCCCAATTCTTTTAACTTTTTAATAATGTTTAGAGAACAAAAGGTTTAAGTATTGCTTTCCTAAGACAATCAAGAAAACAACCTAAAAACCCAGCAGCCTTTGCAGTACAATCAGAAATAAAGCAAGCTGTAAGAAGAATCCAGCACAGGAAAAATCAGTGGCAAGGCCACCTTTCACTTGTGCTGCTATAATGATAGAATTTCAACAGTAAGAAAGACTCAGCTTTACAGAACTGAGGCCCACATGTGCAAATACAGCAGGCTGGTGAGTATCTCACAAGGCCATTCTCTTTTGACATGAATATATGTCATTTTCGGTAGCTACAGAGCACCTAGCTCAACCCATATTTTCCACTTTTGTGGCCAAATCACCAAGTCAAAGACTACAGAGTGTGGACAGACATGAGGCAGCCAACGTCTGGATCCCGAACAGGATTGATGGGAATGATTGAGAACGAGAGCAAAATGTCTTTGGCCTGGGTTTGCAGGACCCAGGGACTTAGGACACTAGAAACTCAATGGTCACCAAAGCTAACCTGAGATAGTGGTGCTCAAGTTGGTGGTCTCACTCTGGTGATGATTAAAGATATGGAACTTGTAGGAGAAAGCAACCCAGAATTAGTTCTCTCAGTTAAGGGAAATAAAAAGTGAGAATGTGAGGCAAAGCGAAATTCTGAAGAGCAGGAAGGGACTCCCAAGAGAAAGAAAAGAGTTAAACTGTTTTGTCTGGGTGGAGTATGGCACTCATTGTAGAAACTGGATGAAAGCTGAGGTAATCCCTATCCAGATTGGTTATCACTCTGGGAATAATATCACACGTTTGGCTGATGAAGGGGAGACATCTGTCCATGTTCTGGTCCAGTCGGGAGATGGCCATGTGTTCATGTGTTATCCCCGCCCCCCCCACATACACCAGTCTATCTCTGACTTCTGCTTTGTCAGCTGTTGACCTTGACCGTCTGCTCGCTGTAGGAGCTGGCTGGCGTTATTGCCACTGACCTTGCAGGTGCTCCAGACTGTTGATTAACTGTTGATTAGCCTGTGCTCTTTGTTCTCACATTTATGGGGCCAGCTTGTAGTGTCACTATGGAGCTAATTCCTATCATAGCTACCAAGATCTACGTAGCCATGATTGTTCTTGGTTACTTCATATTTAACTCCATGCCTGTATTATGGGTAGTCTCTTTTCTAACCTGAGTGGAGCCTTCTAGAAACTGTCCTTACTTACTATCCAGTCTTTTGTAATTGGCTGCATTAGAGGCAAGAACATGTGGAAAGGACAGCAATGTCCTGTACATGCTCTTCAAGGCAGAGCACATCACAGGAGGCAGCTGGCTTGCTAATGCTGCTGACCCAGAGCCCTCCCTTCCTCTTCTATGGCCAGCTTGGTTACATGATGCTCAGCTGCAAGCTCTTCAGTTTTTCCTCTCAAATGTTCCCACACTAACTCTTTTAACCCCAACACATCTGTTCTCATCCTAACA